TAATCAATAATTTGCTTTCCTTATATAAGATATATATCTGTCAATATATATTAATTTTTAAAAGTGTATATTAATAATTTATAGTAATGTTCCGTTTCTATTCTTTTACGTATTAAAAAGACAAGATTTTAATTTATCATTTTCCTAATGAAAGTTTTAAAACAATTCAAGAGAGTTCTTTGTAGTTTCCTATTATTTGTTTCTAATTAAAAACGTGACTGAAGATTTTCTTAAGAAAAATTAATTAAAAGAAATTTTGAAGTTTCATTTTATTCTATTTTACCAGTCTCTGCATGGAATTCTTTCTTTTCACAGCTAATCACGTAAAGGTTTGTCCCGTAACTTTTTCCTTCTTTTTCTCTACCAGTCGTTGTCGCGCGTGCTCGATCTGATAGCCTAATGCACGGCTTCCTATGCGGAAATGCCTCACTACATTATTCTACGCTCCTACGTGCGCGGTCGATCCTCCACCCCTTTTCCCACCCTAGATCATCGTTGTACTTTTGTCACGAGAATGGGCCGAGACCATCGTCACTGCCACCTGCTATGTCGATTATTATATCGCCGTCTCGTTCCCTCTATAAAATATACAAACCGTCGATTAGATTACCTAAGCGCGTTCTTAGTGATTGATCAATCTCCAACTATTGATACATTGATATTAAGGGGGCGATAAATACACCACAACATAGGAAAAAAAGAGCGCGAAAATTCTATTTTTTTCCCCGATAATGTAACACGAATGTTGTTTCCCCCTAGTTACAATATTTATGGATATTCCTCACATACGGTTGTTGGCAAAGTTATTATAAAAGGAAGCGATGAAATTAATTATTATCGCTGTCCTAGTATTCAACTAAAAATACAAGGGGCATACTTATCAGAAAATACTGAGAATACCTGACATAATATAGTAAACGTGATTTTTATAAATAGGGTCATATATTAATGACAAAGCATATAACTACAATTTCTGTAATCATAACATTTTCTTCAACGACATCATTTATCATTGTACATCCCTCGGTGCGGTAGATGTCGGAGAAAATCGGACAAGAGACAGATAAAAAGAAAGAGTGTGTGTATGTGTGTGGGGTGTGTGATATGTGAGAGAGAGAGAGAGAGAGAAAGAGAGAGAGAGAGAGAGAGAGAGAGAGAATGAGAAAGAGGGAGGGAAGGAGAGGGAGGCAAAGAAGAATAGAGCGAGAAGTAGAGTGATAGAAAAAGAGCGGCAACGAGAGACGGTGGCCGAGCACAAAGCGATCGTTCGCACCCTATTTTCTCACGCTCACGCTCGCGTCGAATCGAAAGCACGTCCGATATCTTACGGAGACTCGTTGACGTCGCGCGTACATCATCGGACCTGCTTATACCGACGATATTGACAGCCTTCGTTCGATGAAGCACGCCGTGGGGGATGATTGGGGTCGTCTACGATCCAGGGTACAATGTGTGCGCGTGTTCACGTCTGCGGTGTGTGTGTGTGTGTGTGTGTGTGTGTATGCGCGCGTGTACCCGTCTCTATCACCTCGCATCTCTCCCTGTCCGTCTATCCGTCCGTCTGTCTGTCGGTCGACCGATCGGTCGGTTCACTCCTACTCTCCATCCCCGCGAACGCGAAAAAGAGAGAGAGAGAGAGAGAGAAAGAGAGAAAACATGAGAAAGAGAGATGTGCGGGCGGACTCGGGTTCGTTCGTTATCAGATCCCACGATAGGACACGCGACTGAGGTAGCAGATCCTATCTGCGGGACGGAAGAAATTTTATGTCGTATAATGGACAACGGACGCACACACGACACGGTTCTAACCGGACGGTGAATCTACTTTGCACGAAAAACCCGGATCACCTCGGAACGAGAAACGAGCAACGATTTTCCGCTTTTAGATACTACGCCGTTCCTTTTCGGCACGCATCGTTAATTTTTACAAATTTTACACTTGACACTTAATTGGGAATTCTTTACCTTCATAACATTAACGTAGAATTTACTTTTGGGGAAATAATTGCATCAAATGAATTTACCGTTCATTACGATATTTCTGATAAATAATTGTAAATATTTTACTCATCTGCCGAGCATTTATTCGATTATATACTAAAATACTTCTTTCGTATTGCTTATGGATCGTGGATTGAGAAGAAATTTATAAATGGAATTTAATCTGGTTAACTATATATAAATAGCATCTCTTCGGGGAAACTGTAAAGCGGAGGCCGCGGAGAGTAGCAGTATCTTCGATAAAGAGGCTTCCAAGTGGCGGGATGACGAGAAAACGCGAGCTAATAGCTCGGCCACGGGCAGAATAACATAATGTTGCAGGAAGAGCGAAGGAGACAGCGCGAGAGGGAGAGAGTAATAGACACGATATAAATGAAGAATCGAAAGCTCTTGAGTTGTCGAATAATAAAGTCCACGATGAATTTACCCAGTCACGCTTTCAAGGGGTTGCTTATCGCCGCGAAATACTCGATAATTCTACTGGAGGGGGTGCCATGGGGGTACGTCGGCTCCACGTGTTCTCTCTTTCTCTAATTTCTTCTTCGACTCATTCTTATCAGCCGACAATCGTTTCGTAGGCGGACATTACCGTGTCGCTGCTCGTCCGTGGAGCGTACGTCGCCGCGGCGTGGTCGGGGTAATGACGCGGTAATTTTCTAAACACAAATTTCCTTTTTCAACCCTTATCTTGCCCGTCGGACACGTGACCGGTCGTTAGCGTTCGCTTTCCTCCTTCGTGCGGTCTGTCCGCGCGTTCTTAGTAACAACCGGCTACCTCGACATGCACGTCTCCCACGCTTTTAAGTAAAACACACCTTGCTTATATCAAGCATGATCTTCTCACCTAGTGACATGTTATTATTGAGAAGCTCCCGCACTAAAAATTTCTAGTAGGTACTTATTTATACGCAGCATGTGCGATCAACAATTAGAATAATTATAAGTGAGAAGAATAAAGAGGAGTCACAACGTGAGGAGATAGTATCAAACTTTAAGTCAAGAGGATAGATGTGTTTTACGTATATTGGCCATTAAAATAATGGTCATATCAGTTAAATTTATTTTTAATGTACAGTGAATTAATACACAAAAAGGTTTAAGTTTTTCTAAATATTATATTTTTATTTCGCATTTTTTGCTATCTTGTATATTTAAACACACG